AATAATAATAATAATAGTAATATTCTGAAAATTAGCAATCATACCAATTGTATAAATACCCATTATCTTTGTATTTTTGTAATTTTCTTACCAAGATAACGTTCTAAATTGTGTTATTATTATTATTGTTATTATTATTATAATATTTTATTTTATTATTAAATAATAATAGTAATATTCTGAAAATTAGAAATCATACCAATTGTACAAATACCCATTATCTTTGCATTTTTGTCATTTTCTTGCCAAGATAACGTTCTAAATTGTGTTTTTTTACATAAAAAAGAATTGATTCTTTTTGGCCGGCCTTTTTCAAAAAAAAAACTGTGCATTAAGGGGTTAAACAATTGCATTGAATCACGAACCGAAATCAGAGCTCGTATACCCGTTCAAGCGGACTGACTGAACGCTCGGAAAACAGAACCGTTCGTCGCGACTGAAACGATCGAACGATTCGAATCGCGATCGTAAAACGGATCGCCCCGTTTTCATGGCATTAAAAAAAACGGCCGCGGAAAAATACCATTCCGCCACCGCGGATCGTCCGATCGCGAGAAAACGGTTTCTGCTAAAAGTCAATAAAATACCGATTTACAACAGGAAGCGAACGTAATTGGCTCCGGCCCGTGTTTCTCCGTGGCGTGACAACTGGACGCTTCGACTGTTCGAAAACAGTGGGAATATAGGGCATCGGTCGCGCGGAAAGATTCTCGGGAGAGGAAACATTCCGTGGATAAAAAGAATCCACGGATTTCACGACCGTCTGTCCGGTACTCTCTCGTCGCGTTGCGACGACGCTGCAAACGCGGTGCCTAAACACGTCGCGGGGGACAGTCGATAATCAAACCGCTGGATCCCGAAATGCTCGAAAATTATTGACAGCCACACGGGCTGCATACGCACGCACGCACGCACGCACGCACGCATGCAAACGTTACGTTCGGGGGGAACAGGTTGGTGGTTGTTCTCCTTCACTTTCACGTTAACGGACAACGAGGAAACCGACGGAAACCACCCCGAAACGATCTGCTAAATAAATCACTTGGTGCACCACTCTGTGCGGTCAGATCTTGAGGATTCGATGGCCGAAAAAAAACAAGAAAAGAAAAATGTTTCCGCGCAACACAATCACGGAGCTAGTATGGAAGACGGATCGAGCGCACCAAGAAACCATGTTTTACCTCTCGGATTCGCGCGAACCACGCGTCCCGTACCAGTCCGTTCGTTGTTCCGCAGCACGACGCACGATCCAAGGATCAGCTATTCCCCATTTTTCACGTGTCCGTCGAAACTCGCACTACAATACGCGAAATTGGGTCGAAACCACGGTCTCGAGACGAACACCATCGAAAACAACGCGACCCGAACCCATATAGCGGGTGTACTGGTGTAAGAGCGTGAGATGAACGAGATGCATCCGTTCGGAGCGCGCTCTGCGGTGCCGTCGGCGAAGCTCCGCCGATAAAATAGACCAATCGCGGCGGCGGTCCGTTCGAACGCGCGGAATTCGAATTCGTTTGGTCGACGGTTACGGGTTTCGGTGAACGTATTTGGGAAGATATTGGAAACGGTTGATGTAGTGCTATTCTTGTTTGGAGGAAATGATATTTTGAGATTTATTTGACGTCGTGGAGACGAGTGTATTTGTTGGAGAGAAGTTATTTATGTCGTGGCAAGGAAAATTATATATGAAATAGTATTTCCTGTTACTAATTACTATTTCATATATATATAATTTTAATATATAATATTTAATATTTAATATTATAATTTTAATTATATTAATTATTAATATTATATTAATTGCATTAATTAATTATAATTATATATTGTATAATATAATAATATATTATATATTATATTATTATATTAATTATTAATATTTAATATTATAATTTTAATATTTAATATATAATATTTCATATATAATTTCCTGTTACTAATTATTTGAAACAGTATTTCCTGCGTCTTAATCAAGTAATGTAATTATTACAGGTTCTATTGTATTGTTCGAAATTGTACTTCTTACGATTAATATTTGTGAGAGAAAACAAACGCATGAACTTCTCCAACCATTCCTCCAATCTGCCATCCTCATTTAATATGTACTTAATTTTTTCCTCTTCCCTGCACTTCTCCAACACGTGTTCCCACATTTCTAATCCTGAAACGTTTCCTACTCTTACTTCCCCGTACCCCACTTGTTGTATTGTGATTCTACTATCTTTTCATAGTTTACCCCTCTTTGCATCTCTCTTACATTCCTTTCTACCTTCTTCTATTCCCTTTCTCGCTCATGTACTTCTTCCTCTCCCTCTTCCATTTTGATAGTTCCGTCCGACTTTCCATTGACTTAAACTACTTTCTCATTGTATCAGGAGAACGTGCGAGGAGGTATCGCGAATGGCTTTGGCTGGCTTGTTATTGTCTTGTACTACTGAAATTTCGAAAATCTCGAGTATGATCATTTTCGAGGAGGTATCCCGAAATCCTTTGTCTGACTTGCGATTGACTTGTATCACTGAAATTTCGACGAAACGAAATATCAGTATTCGTTGTGAATCCTTTTCTTACAACGATGACTTACTTGACTAACAATATGATGTACGCAGTGATTGGTCCCGTCTTCGATTAAAATGAAGAAAATATTTGTTTCGATGAATTATCTCGGATTCAAATTGTAAGATATATGTTTTATCGAGGAAGGTTCAAATTAAATTGGAGGAAAAATGATGTTGAAAGAATATGGTAGGTGCTTGTTGCGCCATCCGTGGCAAAATGCCGAAACTGGTAGACAATTGAGCGCAGATATAAATTACTAGTGCCATTCGACTGCCAACTTACCGGCAAGTGGAGATAGTAAAATCGTTTCAAAATTTCTATTTTATCAATGTTATCAATTTTCTATTTTATCGGCAAATTTAAAATGGATTAATTATAAATTATATTAACGAATTTAGGGACACATTGTAAATAGTAATTCAATTATTTGTTGTTCCTAATAAACAAATTTCTTATGTACACAAGTTTATAATTAATTTTCAAGGAGGAAACATAATTATTTCAAAACGGATAATTTATTTGTTGATGTAATAATTTAATTTCAGAATATTATTATATGGAGTTTTAAGTATATATATATATATAGTATATTATATTATATTATTTAGATACATATCCCAGAAACTGCATTTCCCGTCGGTCAAGTTGCCCAACAGTTTACGCGTTTTCCCACCGCATGAATTGGCGCTATTCGAACGTTTGAATACAGCAGAAAATTCGTGCCGAAATTTACACAGCTTCTTATGTGAAACAAGGCACGAATCATTTGTGCCAGAATTGAGTATTGGAACATAAAACTGAAAATCATTTATACTTCAATAATGAAAATTCGAACGTGCGTAAGCTTATTGTAAACACGTTGCCAGAGATCTCTTTTGAGGTTTCCGGTAATAAAAGCACAGATTCGGAAGTCGATTCTTCGAGGAATTAGCATTGGATTTTGTGGGGAAAGCGGTAAGAATCATTTGTCACTTCATTCGTTATTGATATTTTATTAATTTATTTTTCCTGGAACATAACATACACTCAATTTCTCCCGGTATGTTATTTCCTTTGTTCTGTCTGATTTCGTGGTAAGAACGGGACAATGGACACACTATCGTGGCGAGAATAATTAACGAAAAACTCCTCTATCATTTTCTACGGTGGCAATACGACAACAACAAAAAATGATGTCTTGCTCTCAAGTGTTTCACAACGTCATTTCTCATTCAATTCGATCAGAACCTTTCTCGACGAATTTCAAAAAGCACATATAGAAATCAGAACCCCTGGGTCTTCGTTTGTTCGTTTATTTCGACATTTCAAGATGTATGGACAATTATTACATAATAATTATATATATTTATATATGTATAATGAGAGAGCATTCTCCTCTCGCGGCATTTCCCTCGTCATCAACGGGAAATCCCCTCCCCTCTGTCGGCCATTCACTCTCTCCTATAATCTTCGTTCACCCTCTAACTGTCTCTCATCCTTTCTCTCTCTCTCTCTCTCTCGCTCTCTCTTTCTCTCGCTCTCTCATGTTCTCACACGTTCTCTCTCACTCTCACTCTCTCATTTTGTTTCTTCACGATAAAAGAATGAAAAGGTAAAAGTAAGAAAGTAACGGCGTCCATTCGTCAAGTCTATGAATGATTTTACGAAACGATCTCTCGGTTTTGGGCGCGTTATTTAAATCGTTCAATCGTAAACACTGTGAAATCTTTTCCCGCGATGTTCTTATTTCATCTTCCTTCCCTCGTCTCTCTCTCTCTCTCTCTTCTTCTCCTCCTCCTCCTCCTTCCTCCTCTTCATTGTTCCATTCACGTCCTTTATTATCATTTAGCGTTTATCGATAAGATTATGATCGTTACCATTAATCGTTATAATTACGATAATAACACTAGTGTTAGCAACACCCGCACTCGCCCCGCCCGCCCTCCTACCCCCCACCGCGCGGCCACCAAATCCCCTCCCAGAAACCGTGGCGCCACGTTCAAATCGCGAATTACAATTTTGGCAATACCGTCACAGAATCGTTATTGCAAAATTCGTTTCTTTCGGTTGTTTGTTTCTTCTTTCTTTTCTCTCTCTCTCTTTTTGGTTTTGGTTCTTTCATAATCCCTGACTGAAGTTTTCTTACAACACGATACTTTTTCATTCTTCGTCCGCTTGTCACAATTGTTTCATCATCTATCTATTTTTCTCTCGCTCTCTCTCTCTCTCTCTCGCTCGCACACACACGCGCACACTCATTCGAAATATTCATACTGAACATTCCTCGTAACCTCGTCATCGTTAAAAATATTTATCATTCTTTGTTTCCTCTGCCGCTAAACGATGGTTTCTCTCATCGTCTAATATTTCTTTCTTTCTTTTTTTTGTCCCGATTCCATTGTAGCCGGCAATCAACGTTTCAACGTGCAATTTGCAAATCAATTTTGTCCCCATTTGAAAGAGATGCGTCTCGACGATAATAGCCGGAGTCGATCGAGTCTCGTCACGGAATTGCAAATTGAAAATCTCTCTGGTGACTGGCTGGCACAATGTCGATAAAAACACGTGTACAGTATTGCGAAATGGGTATATCGTTGAGCGCGGGTACGTGAGAAATATTTGAACAATGGGAGTGGGAGTGGGGTGGGGTGGGGGGGGGGAGAGAAATTATAGTTGCGCACAGTGGTGGATCATCACATTTTCTTTGTTAACAGCATCAAAATGTAAATAAAATTCTAATGTCCTCGGAGGAATCTTATCTTGCCATTAAGTGACGGGGGTGGGGTGGGGGGCGAACACGTATGATCCACCACTGGCCGTGCAGAATCTAAAAAGGAGCCTTGTAGCGGGCCTCGAGAAATCCCTGAATTTCACGTACGACGAACCAAAACCGAAAACGACGATGGAGAAAGAAAAACGCCGAGACAGTCGTGAGGAAAAGAAGTAATCCCGAAATAGAACAAGATGGCGCGCAAAGAAAACGTTAACCTACGACGAGTAGAAAAGAAATGCTGTTCCTGAAAGAGGCTCTTGACACAATTTCATTGTAGTCATTGTTAATCTAAAAGCACCTCCAAGAAACATTGGCAAGTTTTTTTGACTAAGGGCTAGTCAAAATAATTTACTACATTTGTTGTTGTTGTTGTTGATGTTCTTGTTCTTTTTTTTTCTTTTAGTAGATCTAGTCGGGAAAAAGAAACAAATTCAAAAAGAATTACTGAAAAATATACATATTCTTCAACCGGAAAGGAAAATATATATGTATATTTTTTATATAAGTTAATTATTCTAACGTATTCTTATATTCACTGTAACGCTCTGGTACACGATTCCTTTCACAAAAATTGTACCATCGTTCGTTACAATCTCAGTTGTAGCATAAACAAAGATTCTGTACGGGCACGTACATTGTACAAGCTACAGTGTGGTCAATAAAAGAATAGACATATCCGCGGTAATCAAGAGAAAAACAATGGTCCATTGACTTGCACTGTATATAGGTCAATTACAACCGAAAAAGTAAACAATCGCTGGTCCGTTACAATTGTCAAATATAATTTGTAAACACGTTAGAAGCAAAATCAAGTTCAAGTAAATTTAAGGAAATCCTATAGATTAATTATAATTACTGATTATAGTAACTATTTATAATTATAATTAGTGTAATTACTAATTATAATTACTATCGAAGTCGACCTATTTCTCGACCAGTCTGTAGCCCGAATCTTCGAGTTTTCCATCGTCGCCTCTCACAAAAACGGTTCTTCGATGAACGCTGATATAATTTCTGTTCGAAAAGATCGACGAATAATAAAACTCTAAAATTTCTCAACGTAAACGCTTGCGCTCTGAACGAAACGACGACGCTGCTCCGCCGGTTAGGCGTTAATCCCCGATAAAGAACGTACAAATTGAATTTTGTAATCAGACAATTGTATTTTAATCAATGACCAGACTGTACCTATAATTTCAGCATCGAACGAGAAAATTAGTTTACATGAAAATTAAATTCCCGATCGTGTTTTTGCACGAGTTAGTACGTTTTGTTGTTGTTGCTTTTTTTTTCTTCTAACTTGACTAGAAATTCTATACGTGAAATTATTTATACATAATTATAGCTACTACATATAGGAATACTTAATTAATTAATTAATTAATTCGTAACCCTAAAATTTATATATATATATTTATATATATATTAATTTTATAATAATATAGCAACGGCGGTGACAGTAATACTATTTTCCTTTTATCCCTAGATTTAACTAACGATATATAAAAATAATTCTCAAAATCGGCATAAAAATGAGAACGAAAGTCGACGTCGAAATGAAAAGAATCATTTTGTCCGCTTTATCATAAAATGTTTTTTCTTATCCTCTCGATATACTCGTGATCCAAAAAACAATATAGCTGTAAAACGTTAAATTTTTTTGGCCTCCATTTTATATACGCAATGTAATTCGGATTGTTTTTTCGAGAATACTTTTGTTCATTACATCGTAATTATTGTTCTACTCGATTCTTTGGTTCTTTTTGGTCAAACACCCCTCTCGGTTATTAATTAAATTACAATTAAGTAGCGTGGGGTTGCAACTGCAATCTTCTGTTCCCTATTGTGAAATCTGTTGTAACGAAACATCTCATTCGAGTGTTCAACTTTTTGTCATCGAATCACAATGAAATTCGTAGCTGACGAACAAAACTGAATTGCTTCTCGGCGAATAAATCAAATTTTCTTTAAAAAAAAAAAACGATTACTTTGCAGCTGCAATTAATTACAAATAAATTACAAACAAAAACAAAAGACTGTACTTGTATGTGGAATGTTTCATTTATAGTTGTTCGACTGTTCTAGTATCCTTTCAGAGCCAATAGAAAAATTCCCCCAACGAGAAATCATGAAAACCGATGGTCGTCAACGGAAAATATTATTCTGTCCGAGGTGAAATCAGTGAAGTGAACAAATAAAGGCGTTCCAAAAATATTATAGGTCTCTAGGAGAACCTGAATTGCTCCAACATCGGAAATTCAAGGATCGCAACACGTTTTGGTGGAACATTTCTCGAAATATGTATATGTAATGTATATGTGCGCGCGCGCGTGTGATTGTGCGAAAATGTTTGTAGATTTGTGTGTAAATGTGCGTACTGATCAAACGAGACGATCTCGAAAATAATCAAAGATCCTTCGAACAACATGAAACAATTTTATAATCTTCGTTTTGTTAACAACAAAAAAGATCTATCAATTAACATTGTATTGCACCAATCATGACTAAAAATCAATTTCGAACGAATTCAATGGTTCTTCGATTGTCCACATTAATCCTAGACCGGTTCTCTTACGCATTGTTTCATGTTCGATTTCTCGCAGTCTCTCGATTAAACGTTCCTCTCGATTACTATACGTTACCAGAAGCGAACGTATCTCGTAAAAAGAAATATCTCGACCTCGACCGTTCACTCGACGAACTTTACGGTTCAGTCTTCCAACCCAAAAGAACAGATTGCATGCCTGACGATTATGCAATTCATTTGATATTCAAACAACTGCAAAACACGTGTGTGTAATTAAAACGTACGTCGATTTGTTGTGCGCGACCTGTGCGATCGTTCATGAACGTAATATAACATAGTCGAAGTAAAGCGAACATGTTGAACAATAATTGTACACGAGACAAAGGAAAATTGGATTTTATATTACAAAGCGTCCTGGGCCCCTCTGGGCAGAAAGTCGTCGATCAATGAATATCGCTCATAACCTAATATTTGTTCATAACCTAGAGCTTAGCATCGTGTAACCATTTCTTCATAAACGTATACAGAATCTTCATACGCATTGAAACGCGTCTCATAATGAACTCCTATGCTTCGTTCAGCATTCTACCAATCGTTCTTGGTGCTTCGTGCAAAAATGTCAAATAAGTTCCTTTCAAAATTCGCGCTTAGTTACCCCCCTCCCCCACTAGCCACGCCCAGCAGCGGGACGATAATGTTCTAATTCAAGTATTAGTTAACAGCCGTCATTGTCAATTACAACAGCCGTCCTCCAATGACATCCACAGTGACTCTGTGGTCTAATTTCAACCCTCTAAAAACAATAAACCATGTACAAAAGAAGAATCGCTGCCATAGGACGTACAGTTGTAATGATCGTCCCCATGAATCACTCTGTATACTTTCATTTCGGTGCAAAGAATTGGTTCTCAGAATGATGACCCTGTCAATGATCCTCTGCCCAAAGGTGGCCTCTCATATACCTCGCGTGTCAGTGATCCGGCAATTTAAACCAAGATAAGAACATCCGCAGATCTCCTATGTGCTTCGTGATTGGTCTTTGTGCGATTCGTCGCGATATCCATGAAAAATCTGGATCAATCTTTGGTGAGTCTCCTTTCGATTTTCTTCTCGTACATCGGACACAGCTATTCTCGGTGGATCCCGTTGTTTACGAAATTCTTTTCTTCTTCGTTTACGCGACGATGTTTTTCTTTTCGAAGAAGAAGACGAAGAAGAATACACACACAGGCCGCTACTTCGTCGACGGGGCCATATGGACTCGCGTCTTCAGACATTCGCGGCAGCATTCGAGAACAGTAAATCCTGTTGTTTGTTGTGACAACTCCGCCCCGGGCAGCTCCCCGTTGACTCTTTAAATTTCTACAACTGACAAAATGGCGGACAGCCTCGCCATTGTTGTTCCGTTAAGTCAGCATCGAAGAAATTCACAAGGCAGCCTCTCTCTCTCTCACTCTCTCGCGCTCTCGCTGTACAGTCATAGATTAGAATAAGTTGCAGACGACCCGGCAGAAGATGCAATTCAGATTCGCGTGCGCGTGCGTTTCAATCGGTACTGCATTTTCTATGGTCTCTTGAAAATAAAGAGAAAAACGTTCCAAGTGTTAGGGGAGCTACCGCGGCGAAGAGATTAGATTCGCAGCCTCGAATGCCGGCTTCCAGAGGTTGACGAAGAAGCAACCCGGCGGATTTCGGTCCCCGGAAAAGAAGAAATACTCGAAAGGGCAGTTGATAAAAAAGTTGAGAAGGTATCCGCAGGTGGTCGGTAGTAGTAGCGGTGGTACACACAAGTATATATATATATATAAATATATATATCTTTCTTTCGCTCATTCTCTCTCTCTCTCGCTCTCTTTCTCTCTCTCTCTCTCTCTCTCTCTTTCGTTCTCTCCAGTTTCACTTGTTTCCACTCTTTCTCTCCTCCTCGTGCGCTCGGTCCCCTTTCTCGCCAGTGTTGTCAGTCTCTCGGTCTCTCATTTTCTCTCTCTCTCTCTCTCTCTCTCTCGCTTTCTTCCTCTCTCTCTCTCTCTCTCTCTCTCTCTCTCGTTCTCATGCGCTCCCTCGTGCTCGCAATACATGTCTCTTGTGTCCGTGTGTGTGTGTATGAGTGTGTATCGGTCGATCGGCTTCACGACGGGAATATTTATCCTAATAGAGACCGCAGCCACGGAGATTATTGGCGATAATGACATCTGTGACTGCGTCGAACACGAACTGAATGTTGGTTGTATCAGTGGCGCAAGTCGTGTGGCAGTAGATCTCCTTATTGCCTGTCTTGTTATTCGCCTCGAATTGCGCCTGGATGTACGCGGCTGCCTCGCCGTACTCTTGCGCTCCTGGAGAATAAACAAAGAGCGTTAGTACATAGAACCATGATTGGAGAGAAAGCAATCTCTATCCGAACTTATTAGTCGCGTTTAAGGAGGGGGGGGGGGGGGGAGTAGTCACCTAACGTGACACCGCTTGGAATGAACCGTCAATTACGCCGACGAGTTTTGAATCTCGCCACCCGTTACGGCGACCAATAGGCGGAGGCCTAACGCTAATGGCGCCGAATACGAATTATGAAAAGCGTTTTTGGCCATCCGCCAGGATTTTAGAAGAATTTTATTGCGAAACGGTCGGTTTTACGACTACAGTAATTAGGTAGTATAGTAAATTAGGGAGAATTTACTATACTAGTATAGCATAATATAGTAAATTAGGGAGAATTTAATATACTAATATAGCATAGTATAGTAAATTAGGGAGAATTTACTATCGTAGGCATATAAAAAAATCGAAGAAACCGATCCAATAAAAAATATAAATAAATATGATTACATATATTGAAGCGAACTTGGACGCTGACATACTGAATTTTTAGTTGCACACCGAAATTTATAATTTATATTATAGTAAATAAAAGATTGTAATTTTTTGTTGTTATTGGTACTAAGAAATTGCTTTTCGCATTCGCTGCCGGTCAAGTTTCACCTAATTTGCTGATTCCAATATTTTCTTATTTGAGGTTGTGTTTGAACAATTTATTGAGAAGAAATATTTTTTCTACATCACGATGTATAGTGATTTCTCTTTAATTCGCGATTGAACATATAATTCGCAGATAGTACATAAAAATGGACAATTAGAAAAGAGAAAATACGATTACTCGAACCTTGCGACTCGTTTTTATAATTGTTGAAAAATGGCGACTAAATCGTGTCGCTATCAAATTTTGCTTTTTTCAAAAATTAAGGATTCTCGAGTTATTACAGGTTATCGTAGCGGACGTATTCTAAAACGAACAAACAAATGGTCGCTTTGTTAATTCCGTATAAAATAAACAAATATTTATAAAGAGCAATGGAATTATGATGACGTGTGGCGAACGACTTTGGCAACATCGTGATTCATTCAGCCGTATCGTATATTGGCGGGAATGTATTTAGATCACCCCAAACAAGAGGAAATAATATTCATGCAGCGCGTGAAGGAATCTCAAGGACGCCGAGAGATTATCGAACTTTTTTTTTTAACGAAGTAAACTTCGCGCGTTTATTTTTATCTCTCTCTCTCTCTCTCTATATATATATATATATATATAGAGAGAGAGAGAGAGAGAAATAAATATATATAAATAATAAAATATATAATTATATTTATATATATAATATAAAAATAAATAATTATATATTATATATATATATATATATATATATATATATTATATATAATATTTTATATATATGTAATATAATAATAATATATTATTATTATTATTATTTGATTATATTACATATATATAAAATATTATATCTAATAATATTATATATATGTAATATATTTATTGTATACGTATAAAGAATATAATATATTGTTCGCGTTGCTAAATTCGATAATCGGTATTCTCGAATCGGCATCTTTTCCCTTTTCTTGTATTTTTTTCCTTTTAACAGATAAACCGTTCCGTTAAATTCGATATCCGTTCTTTTATTTTTGCTTTCGAAGAATGTTTCGGTGTTCCGTAGTTATTGACACGGAATCATCGGAACGTATATATTTAGTTCGACGGTTCCGGATAAGAGTGCGACTTATCGAGATACAATATGGCGGCTTACCAGCGTACTCGGGGAAGCAGATGGTGAGGGGGGACTTGCGAATTTTCTGCTCGAAGAGATCTTTCTTGTTCAGGAAAAGGATGATCGACGTGTCGGTGAACCATTTGTTATTGCAGATAGAATCGAACAGCTTCAAGCTTTCTTGCATTCGATTCTGTGAACAAACAAAGCAACGATATAGAAATTCGGTGCGTACGAGTTACTAACCATCGTGTTAAAGATTGATCTGCTCGATCAATCTGTGTTTATTCGAGAGATTAATTTACGCGAATAATAGCTACATGTACTAGGCTGGTTTGTGAAAAATTGCGGAAATAATACGGTGGTCCGTAAAAGTGTTCGTACGCCTTTTAAAACGCAATAATTTGTTTCAGAACTGAACTAAATGGCTTGAATTGTTTTTAGATGATAGAGGGGACTAGTCTACTAGACGATGACTAAAAAGCTTTTTTTTGAGTAAAAGAAAAGTAAAGTTTACTTTTACTTTTAAGTGAAAGCTTTTTTTAAAGTAATTTTACTTGGAATGAAAAGAAAACATTAAAAACCCTCGTTTTTTAACTTTTTTATCTGAGCCTATAACAAGAATTTAAAAAACGTCTTTTGTAGATCTTGGTAATTTTTATGCCTGCTAGCGACAGGCGTTGAAGAATTTTAAAAACTGCAGGTTTCTCATAGTTTTTGGTCAAAATTGTGAGAAAACTGCGACTTTTGCGATCTTTAATTTGTTGTAACTCGTAACAATTTCTTAAAATTTTCGTAATAAGCTCAGATAAAAAATTATCTATTTGTCGTTTCAAGTAATAGCGAAATTAAAAAAGAAATCATTTGAGTGATCGTCTAGTAGACTAGTCCATCATCTAAAAAAAATTCGAGTCATTTAGTTCAGCTTTAAAATAGTTATCGTGTTTTAAAAGGTGTACGAACACTTTTGTGGTCCACTGTACATCGTCGATGAAATAGAAAATTTCGGAAAAAGTAAATTCTCCCTAATATTTTTTTTTTCCTTTAGCTTCTAAACGAAAATGGACGATTTGGGAAGAGATTTCATTATTATTATTTTATTACGATTATTCGAAGAGCTCGCGCCTCGTTTTTATAATCGTTGACAACTGGAAACTATAAAAACGAGCCGCGCAGCTCGAATAATCGTGTCTCCTCTTCCCGAATTGTCCATTTTGGTTTGCAAGCCGAAGGAAAATTCGGGAGAATTTGCTGTAAATGTTAAATCGTTCGAGAGGACTCGGAGGCAAGAGGGGTTAATGGGTGAGGTCGTTCCAGCAGAAGAACCCGTTAATTTCCGACAATTGCACGCTGTCACGTTCTCTTCCCACATCAGACTGGCGATTGGCTGTCCATATGTAATTTTGTAGGGTGTCGGGGGTTTCTGGTTTCTTGAATTCCCCTCTTATTGTCATCGGGGACCCGGCGCCCGTGACGGATCACGTGTCCCACCGACTATGTTAACATTATACCAGGCCATGTGACCATGATACACGTTAACTTAATTCAGGTGAGATCGTCACGCATGTTGAACCCGTTCGTATTTCTCGAACATTTAACGTGCCGACGTCTTAGCCAGTGCGAATATTCTCGTACATCAATTTGGACATTGCAAATGATATACCAATTACTATACAGCATACGAACACTAGTCATTTTTAAATGAAAGACTAATTTTTCAATCGATGAGTATAGGGGACACGATTATTTTATTTATAATTATATTTAAAATTTTATCAAGCTCTCGTATTTTTATTATTTTGTACACTAGATAAGAATAAAGTACAATGGATATAGTTTATGTAGAATTAAATTAACACATCTTTTCGCATTTTTTA